ATTCTCCTGATATTTCAAATGAGGACATTAAACATGTTTAGACAAAGAACCGTTCCTAGAAGACCTAGGTCGGGTCCATTAATCCTATAAAGTCCAAATCAGAGATACCTGCTAAGGCCAAACCTTCATTGAAACGGTTGATTAAAGTATTGTCAATTCTCTTGCCACCTAATTTCTCAGATTTGTGCATCACCATATTAAAATCTCCACCAACCTTCTAATTGTGATTGATGGAAGTGCCCACCACAGAAAGCTTGTGCCAAAATCAAGTCGAGCAACATTAGAAGTCCCGACATAAACAAAAGTAAGGAACCCAGAATAAGCATCCATAGTGAAATAGGTATGAACAAACTGAGTATCATCAGTGACGATATCCACTGTGATATGCTTCCGCCAAAACACCCAGATGTTATTAGAAGAATTAGCAAAAAAAGATAATTTTTTTAATTTACCCAAGATACGATCATCCGGAGAGGCGACCAAAGGTTCCAAAATAGCAAACATATCCTCCTTATGGATCTTTGTCATCATTTTAAGTCTACCAAGGGAATGAGGATCCACAATTCCCCTGATATTCCAAATGAGGACATTAAACATGTTTAGACAAAGAACCCTTCCTAGAAGACCTAGGCCGGGTCCGTCTATTCTCATTATCAGAAAAATAATGATTCATCTCAAGCTCAATGTTTTCATTGCTAAGATTTTGAACCTCCTTCTACACTATATTTTTTCTTCGCCTATATTTTTGCACATGTCATTTCTCCCTTAACACCTTTGAAATATCATCCAACTGGGAATCGGCGGGAATATCATTTTGATGAGGAAGAAGAGAAGTATTTTCCATATTAAATGCATCAGGAAGAGATGCTGAGGAAAGACGGGCCTTCTCGACACCAGCAAAAGTTTCCAGGACAACAGAATCATGTCTAGGAACATCACCTGTAGGTTTACCAGAGGCAGAGAAATCCTCCTGATTAAAACCAGCATTCGAATTGTGAGGAAGAGAAGCAGAAATAGAAGGAATTTCCAGAGCATTCAAATCTTTCCCAGTAATCTCCATCAAAGCATTGCCCGAAGTATTAACATTACCCTGAGTTCTAACATCACATGAAGAAATAAAAACAGGGGCAAAGACAGAATCCCCCCCCCCCCCCCCCCCCCCGCCTCACATTAGAAATAACAGGAGATAAAGATTCAGGTAAACCATTGCCAGTCCTACCCTCGGCATCATTCGCAGGAAGTAATGGAGGAGGACCTACGGCTGTAACAGCCGCAAGATTAGCCAACTCCGGCTGTTTTTTCCCCACTCCAATCTTTAAATCAGGATGTAATTTAAAACAGTTTACCAGACCGTGCCCAAACATATTACAGTGAGTACAGTAAGAAGGATGTTGTTCCAAATCCACCTGTTTCCAGTAGCCAATGTGTTCTGAATCGATGCAAACCTCATCCGGAGGGGGTAAAGTAACATCCTTCTCAATTAGAACCCTAGCCAAGGAGGGTCTAGTAAGATTATAAGTAGGGGCATCCAGTTTTAGCGGTCTACCGAACATGGCTGCTAACGAAAACAAAATCTCATGATTGAAGAGAGGAACTTTCAGAGACGGGAAACAAATCCAGACAGGAATAATAGGGGTCTCAGCCTTAGGATCGAAGTTTGCAGACCATTTTAAAACCTTCATGCCACAGTTCTCAAACCAAACCATACACTTAGCAAAGAGCCGCGTATAGTCTTCGTCGTTCGCCAGTTGAATCAAGATATGTCTACCATCCAGAGGGCCAATCTTCCATTCACCCGTAAGTTTCATCAACTCAAAATTTTTCTAAGAAAATCCAACTGAGGTATCCCATATATAAACTTTCCAACCAAATGCAACCTACAAGGGGACGCTAGATCGAAGATCTCAACATCAGAGAGGAAAAGGGCAAGTTTCCCCCCTTGCGGCCAGGACGTCGAATGAAAGAAGAAGTAGAATCAATCTCGAGAGTCATAGAAAGAGGAAGGGAAATTGGGTACACCGTTAGCAGTGACACTAGCGTAAGATCGAATCCTCTTACCCGTCTCACCATGCCCGCCCACCGTCACGCCGGCGTACGAACTTGCCATGACGAAAGGATTACTCTCATCGCCATAGAAATCCTAGCAGAGACGGAAGCGGAGACAGAAACATCACTATATATATATATATATATATATATGTTAGAAAAAAGTTTACTTGAATCAGGAATCGAAAACTTGATAATTTTTTGGGATTTGAGAAGGGTGTTTCAAGACATTTAAAAAAGGATAATGTATAGATTTATAAGTTATATGCATTAATTATGTAAATTTGATTTAACTAAAGGTGGTGTTAATTGCATATCAACAATTTTCATGAATTAATTTTAGCAATTTTAATTTATTAAACTGCTGAATTAATGGATGATAGAGAGGTTAAAATGCTAAGGAAATTATTGTGACGTGATAAGTATTTAAAAGGTCTCTTTAGGCTCGGGTGAGTGATTATCGTTTTCTATACATTAAATTAATGTTTTAGTAAATGAATAATTATTTTAATAAATTATTTAAAATAAAATTTTCAGTCATACGTTGCATATTGAAATTGAAATGTTATAATAGATAGGAGGAATATAACTTATATATGAATGTACATCTTAAAGGATTTTAACTAATATGAAATGTTAAATAAATAATTAAGTCATATAAGAGTATCCTAAGATGGCATTGGCACGGAATACAATGTATCTATGCACATTAAATGAATTGGTAAATGTGTACCTTCAAGTACAATATTGAGGGTGTCTTCGGACACATTTTTTAGGGTATCATCGGGTACAAATTTGAGGGTGACTTCAGACACATTTTTGATGATACATTCGGATATAATGGTAATACTTTGATGACTATTAAAGAGGTTAAATTGGTAAATACATAAAAGTGTAATGGGAAAGGAAAAATTCAAAATTTTAAATGAAATGAACTGCATTTATTTTGGTCATTCATGAATAGCACAACATAAAAAAAATTATACATATTAGATTATAATCACTCACTAAATTATATTTATGTTTTCAATTAATGTTTTATTTCAGGAGACGAAAAATTTTATGTTGATATGTCTGGTAGGAAAGTTTTGGTTTACAGAAGGACCGCTGTTACTGATAGATATTAGTTTATAATATGACTTTAGTTTCTTTTATTGTTACTTCTGAATAGAGACACTTTATATGTTGGTCTGAGATGTCATCTTTCAATTATGATGCTGTAGTTTTTTGGATGTTTGAATTTTATTTCACTTTGTAGTTTAATGACTCTTTTATATATTGGAAGTTTCTGAAACATTTTGTGGAAAGTAAAATAGAATGTTAATACCATACGACTGTAGTTCCCGCCTTAGTTAATTGTAACCGTCGGGCTGCGTGGTGACACCAGTCATGTATGTATCAAGTTAACTCTACTTCACCTAAAGTAACGTTATAAATGCAAAGGCAATTGCTGACAACTGTACAAAATTATGTTGATTCGATATCCTATGGATTTTTTAGTTTCGTGGCAATATACACATTGATGTTCGAGGAGTGATTGTATTTAAAAGGGATATTGAATAAATTATTAGCTCGTGTGAATTCTTGCGTTTAGTTGAAATGCATAGGAAGCTCCTAAGTCAATCTGATCTCTGCATATAGTCCCTAAATGAATTCTCTATGTAGAATCACAATCACGACCTTAAAAATGTTGTAATGGCCTGAAGGCCAACCGACTTCTACCCTGATTGCTGTCTCTCAAGCAAGATTCAATTGTTCTTAGGCTAAATCGATTCCATTTTTTCTAGCACCAGTGGATTTGTTGAATCAGGCTCCATGATGATCCTTAGCTATTTGGCATCTTTGTCAAGTGTTAAGATTATCGAATAATCTCATAAATAATGTTTATAGAAAATCCTAAAAACACTTTATTGCATCTGTGACCTCACTACAGATATTGTAATTTTTAAAATACTCAGAAAATGCAAGATTTGCAATTCAATGCCTTGGTAAATTGCGTTTCTGATTTGTTTTGAGATTTATTCAGAAAGATCTTGTGGTATGAAAAGAAATAGTATTTGTTGCATTTTCTATAAACACTGTTCATAACCTTTTCATCCACATTTCTATCTATCGTTGAAGGAGTACAAAAAAATGGGGGCATTTACATGCGTACCTGCAAATTATATATTTATATATCTAACACTTAAGCTTTATTTTTTTTATTCATTCCACTAATTTATTTCATATCACATCAAAAATATTATCATTTTAACTTATAAAAAGCGATGTTCACCTTTTCATGAAGTTGGCATGTATTTAAAAAATGCAGTTTTGGTGTTACATATATAAATACATAGAAATTGTGTGGCATGTATGTAAATCTTCCACAAATACTAAAAAAAACCACTTTATTTTTTTTTGTTTGTATCTCCTGCATATAAAGCTGTTCCTTCGGAACCATATAATCACCCCCACCTTAAATCCTCTCTTCAATTCATCGAAGTTTATCACACACTTCGACCATCATATTTTTCTCTCGGCGCATTTACATACAGGCTAACCTTCCTATTAACTTGCATATCGAGGATCTAAACTTTATTTATATTTATAGCACCCAAATCTTTCATATCACATTAAAAATGCCTTCATTTTTAATTTTTCAAAAGTAAAATACATCTTTTCATCCATACGTAAGTTGGCATGTATCTAAGAATTGAAGTTTATGTGTTACATATGTAAATGCATAAGAATTGAATGGTATGTATGTAAATATTTTCTTTTCTCGAAAAATTATTACGTGTTGACCGCATGCCCAGAAGTCCGGAAGAAGATCCGGATGCGATCATACCGCCGTGTGTCACACAACGGCCTATCCGTATCATCGCCCAGACATGCGTCACCGCACATAATAATATCTTCATTTTCTCAATTCTTTGAAGATGTATGGTTCTAATGCAAAGCATAATCTCCAGGTAGTGATACTGTTGGAATTATTGCCTCTTTCCGGCTTACCACCTGAGTCTTTATTGGTTGGTGTGTCAGTACTTCCATGTGAATTTGTCCTCACAAAGCCGAGACTCGCCATTAAACCTCTGGCCATTAATGCAGAAAGAAACAAAGGCAAAGCGTCAGATCTAAATCATCGCCCCCACCATTAGTTCCTTCTATCCTCGCATTTATTGTAGCAAGCACAGATTTTGGTTCTTTTTATTCATCATTCGCTCTCTGCATTTGTTCTATGCAATCTTCATAGCAACCGAGCAGACAAAAGGGGAGCCTCAACGTGTTTGCTGTGCAAAAACTAATAAGTGAGTTTTAAATTCTGTACTTCTGTTGAATGCCAGTATGAACGAGTAAAGTCTCAAAATAATCATTTTAGTTCCAGAATTTATAAAAATGTAAGATTAATCCCTTTACTCTTTTAATGTGGGCTGCAATAGTTCCAGCGAGGATTTATTTAATCCATCCTGGGATTAAATTGATACTTTTTTGTTTCCTGTATGAACATATGATAAGTCTCATTTCGGATGCAGTTTTAGAAAGTCAAAATTAATCCTTTAAGATGACTCTTTGAGGAGAGAAAATATTAAGTACGGTAAACCGGACGTGCGGTTGAACTCATGGCATTGCGCTATCGACACACCGTCGTCCGGACGCGGTCATCTCTCTCCTTTTAGCCCACTTTAAAAAGGGTCTCGGAATTAAATTGATACTTTTATAGATTTTAGGATTAAAATGAACGTCTAAAGAAAACCCGGGACCATTTTGATATTTTTTCTTTGTTATGAATGTATGATGAGTCTGGTTCCTGATGCATTTTCAGGTCAATTTTGAATTTTGTGATGACATTTTTGAAGGCAATGATGGTCTCCAGTAAAATAGCTTTTGTTGATCTGATCTGAGGGGGAGGGGGGGAAAGGCTTTAAATGCTTCAAAGGAGAGACAGTTGCTTTTCCAGTTCTTTGCAGTGCGCCTCTTTTTATGGGAACAGTTTCCTGAAATAGACCTATCGCTGCACTTTATGTGTGTTCTTTCTATTTCAATGAGAAGCTTCATGTGAAAGAAGTAATGGAGATTTAGCTGTATTGAATGCTTAATTACTTGGAAGAATTTGGCTTTGAGCTATTTGTGGGAATCTTTTGTGCTCTCTCACAATTAGAAAATGTCATGAGAGCCTCTGTAAAACTTTTATTTGCAGTTTTGAAGCCTTCTTTTTTTATATATATATATATATTTTTTACTTTTTTGGGTTTAAATAATGTAAAATTTAGCCTTTCACATTCCTGATTTGATGCCCATGGAAGTTTTTTTTGCAATTTTGAATTTTGTTGAACTTTGCATGGCTTGGAAAAGTATTTTCATGATTGATTGATGGCTTGTGGGCATTGTTGACCGCTATGTATTTAGGGGAAAGGCAGTGGAAACAGTTTTTGTTTACTTGTGAATGGGTTTAAAAATTGGATTGGACCGGGGAGTTTAATAAATATGATAATATTTTTATTTTATTATTGTACATTAGGAATGTGCCACCGCTGATCCCGGAGAGATCTAGCAATATGGCAGAAACGAGTATGATGTAGGCCACACATACAAAAGATCGTTAGACCCACTTGTTCGACCAAGTGAAATTGTTCGAGTTAAAGCTAGTAATGCCAAAATTGACCGAGCAATTTGGAGGGCAGAAAGATGACCAAATGATTCAGCATGTAATTTTAAAATTAAATAAATATGTTAATATTTTTATTTTATTATTGTACATTAGGAATGTGCCACCGCTGATCCTGGAGAGATCTAGCAATATGGAAGAAACGAGTATGATGTAAGCCACACCTACAAAAGATCGTGAGACTCACTTGTTCGACCAAGTTAAATTGTTCGAGTTAAATCTAGTAATGCCAAAATCGATCGAGCAATTTGGAGGGCAGAAAGACGATCAAATGATTCAGCACCAACCCATCGGTCAAAAAGAGCCAAAAAAACATCCAAGCCAACTATTACAGGAAAGCTGATTCGATGAAACATTCAACCTCACCAGTTATCAAGGATCAACAACCACACTCGATCAACCAATCAATTAATGCTAACCGAGCTGATCTTTTTGACCCAAAATCAATTAAGCTTAGCTGGTCTTCGAGTTAAATCTAGTAATGCCAAAATCGATCGAGCAATTTGGAGGGCAGAAAGACGATCAAATGATTCAGCACCAAACCATCGGTCAAAAAGAGCCAAAAAAACATCCAAGCCAACTATTACAGGAAAGCTGATTCGATGAAACATTCAACCTCACCAGTTATCAAGGATCAACAACCACACTCGATCATCCAATCGATTAATGCTAACCAAGCTCAGTTGACCGAGCTGATCTTTTTGACCCAAAATCAATTAAGTTTAGCCGGCGCCATGGAGAGTCCACACACTTGGCAGACAGTAGTCTACTCTGATACCACATCTTGTCACCACCCAAAAGAGCCCTTAAGAGAGGTGAGCAACCCAGGACTTAAATACTGCTTTTCGACCGTACACCTAGCCGATGTGGGACTATTTGTCCGTGACATTGCTCACTCCCCTCTCTTTCTCTCTCTCTCTATCTCTCATTATGCTTTATTTCTTGGGTGTAATTCACTGACAAATCAGGATTTAACATCTTAAAAGATGCAATGAGCGTGAATCATGCCACAAACAAGAAGAGAAGTTGTCCAATGAGAAGAAACCCATAACAGAGACACCGACAACATAAAGTGCGTTGGAGTGTTCGTAACCCAACATATCCAACAGTTGAACAAATGTTGGATGTCATCCGAGACGCACTGACTCGAGGAAAAGATCAGCAACCTGAAAAGAAGAATTAGCGCCCAACGCCAAAAAAAGGCCCCCTAAGTTTGAGAAAAGAAGGTGACTCCCATTACTTTGATAGTGCTAAGTTCGTAGTGGTTGACCAACATCGACTTGGCATACTGAGGAGCCCTGAAATCTCGAGAATGCATTCTCTCAACAAATCTTGAGGTCGAGCCTACGGAACAATTCAAGATCCTGATAATGGAGCCATATAAGGGTCGAACCAATCAAATAGACCACATAACATCATTTGAGTCGATCGTGTGCTTACTAAAGATCATCGACATGCTGAAATGTTGTCTCTTCATTACCACACCGAGGGAGTAAACACTCGGGTGGTTCAACGGATTACCATCAGGAGTACCACATCATTTGCTGATTTCAAGCAAATATTTGTGGTGCAATTTACCAGTGCCTTAAAAACCCAGAAAAACTAACATGCCCTCCTAAAAATTCGCTAGGGACAGAGTGAAAGCCTTCACTTATTTATTGCACACTTCCATATGGAGATGTTGGAAGTACGGGACCCAGAGCCAACACTTTCTCATGTCGTTCTAACTCAAGAGGTGAATGACTTTATGGTGTGCATTGGGTCTGTAGTGGCCGAAGAGTTGTTGGAGATGAAAAATAACCATATATTGGTTCATGAGTATAAATTCAGTCTGCTTCCTCCATATTACAAGCCTCCGCTCGTCGCACGCACAAGAGGACCCCCTTAGACGAAGGTTGAATATCAAAACATGATTTGCGTCCTTCTACCTATCCTCAGTATGAAGATAGTTGACCATCCCGGGACCACAGGGCGCTTGATAGAACATATCACTAAGAGAGTCAGACCAAATATATTGCCAACGACCGGCTATACATAATAAACCCACTATTAAACCACATATATAGTACGAGATATCTCCTTTGAGAGATCAAATAACTGAGATAGTGGGGGGCTATTTAAAACAAAGTTTACTTTGAGAGCCCCTATCCCTGCCCCCTCGAAGTAGAGCAGTGCTTATCTCTAAGATTCGAAGAATTAATATGCCTACCTTTTGGACAATGTGCTCAACATGAAGGAATGTTGACACCTTCGAGTAAGGTCAAAATTTAACAAGTACGATTGAAGCTCATCATACCAAGAAGCCAATCTAGCTCAGGCATTGTAATCAACATATCACCCTCACCATGCGATGGGAGGGCAACAACATCCTCATATGTGGATTGAGAGATTGGTGGTTCTTGTGTCGCTGCGAAAGGTTGGGTTGATGGATTGGCGGATAGGTTGGTTGGCTGACCATTCCTCTACTTATTGTCAATGAACAAATAAGATGTTCCCACCTAATCCGCTAGCACAACTCCTTTTCTCTATTTAACGATAACTTTCTTCTTCATCTCACCTTCTGGGAGATCGCTTCTTCAGTCTCTCGAAGGTTGCATAAATCAAATCTTAGTTCAGGACATCACTCGATGGATTGGGCACATTTTCAATCACAATGCTCGGAAGTGAACTGATTCAAACTAGGGGTCATAGAGCAAATAAGGAACGGGAAGAGTCTCACCACTCCTTATTTATAAAATTAAAGGCATGGAAATCAAGTAGATTTAATTATTGAATCATTATTTAACAATAAATGCAATATAAGTTTTTTTATCAAATTATTTTATTTTTATTGCAGCTTCATTTTCAAGAAGTAAGAGAATTGTAAACTAATATATATATATATATATTTGTGTTGATCCTAATGAGATCTAATGGTCCAAAAGAAAAGGGTGGACGGAGAAGGCCCATAGCAGAAGAGCGTGAGGCTCACCTGTCCTGTCAAGAGAAGTTGTACAAACCAAAGACAGTAATTCCAAAGCTGACTGAGCCACGAGGAGGACATAAAAATGACCAAATGATCAGAGCCCAAACCTTTCGGTCAGAAAAGAGGCAAAGAGGAGTTCGAACCAACCACTATAGGAAAGCTGGCCCGAGGGAAGATCCAGATCCTCAGCATCCTCGATCATTTTGAGGATGTCTAGAGGTCCCTGACCAGTTATCAATGATCAACTGTTAGACTCGATAAACAAATTGACTCATATCGACCAAGCTCGCCAACTGAGCTGATCTCATATGGCCAAGTAGATCTCAGTCGAGAGAGCTTATCTTGTCGGCTCAAAATCAAGTAAGCTTTGTCGGCCAATTCAGCCAACAGATGAATAACAAGCTTGTCCATGTAAAATGCCAGAAATATCATAGTATATACAATTCTAAAACACAGAGACAAAAATATAACATCATCATATTATATTATCTCCTTTATAAATAGGCAGATTATTTCATGAATAAGACTATATATTACCAGTCATTATTTCTCACTCATCTCTCTTTCTCTTTCCTTAAGCTCCATTTCTTAGGAGTGATTCACAAACAAATCATGATTCAACAATTATCAACTTATGTGCTTACACGTTAAAGCGAAATTAACTAAAATTTAACTAAAGCATAGATATGCTAGAAGTTAAAAATTCATAAAATCTACTAAGAATTGCAGGTCTAAGCTCATTTCCTCCTCATGAGCTGCATTTGTACATAGTTTTTTAAAGTGCTAACTTCAAAAAATAAATAAAAATAAAATTTAGAACAAGATAATTAACTCTAAGGAAATGATAGGGAGAGATCTAGATTAATTTTATTAGCTCTGACAGGCAAAGATAAAGTCAAGGACAGCTGCAATTCATCACCTTCTTCTTGTTCTTCCCCCTTCATGCTTTCCTTGTCATTATTCTCTTGCACTTTCTGCCATTATTAAGTTTTGGGACTAAATTAGTAAGAAAGTAAAAAAGAAAGAAAGAGAAGAAATGAATTTTCTGTAAATGTTATTATTATGATGATGGTCAATGAAATATGAATAACTAAGGCTATAACCAGGTTAGTTTTTGGGGGATTTACATAATTATCACCAACAAAATTAGAATTTAGATAATCGAACATCTAAAGTTTATTGATTACATTGCAAGGAGATGAATATTTTGTAAGCCCAGCTCCTGCAAGTTGTGGCCTGCTGAGTCAAATGGAAGAACTGAAGCCATGGGTGGCAAGCTCAAAGGTAGCATGTTTGGGGGTAAGGTTAAAAGTGGTGTCCAGATAGGGCCAACGAATATCACCGTGCATTTCACATGGCCAAATCCTAGCCATTGCCAGATCACAAACACCAGAAACCAGACAGAATAATCTCTCTTAGAACAACTCTTAATTTTTCATTTAAGAGAACTTTACATACATCCCATATAACTCTTATAAATTTGCAGAGCTTACACCTAAGTTCTACATTTATATTTACAAGACTTGGTGTCATCAATTTATGCATGCCATTGTATATTTAATCTATTTTTTTAAGAAAATAAGAGTGATATTAAAGATTTCAGAGAAAAATATGAAAATCTTGATGTCAGATACGTAAATACATAAAAATTGTGTGATAAGAGCCATATAATTTAATATCCAACAAGTAAAAGTTGATATTTACATGAACATCATTTTTGCTTGAATTTCATTTTAATAATATGTAGTTTTGATGTGATATGAAAAATTTAAAACCTTAGAAATACAAAATCAAAATCTTACATGTTAGATGCCTATTATTCATGAGAATTGTGGCATGCAAGTACAGTCCCCCTTCACAAATGACAAAATGAAATAAGATAAAAAGAGGGTGTTTCTCTAATTCATAGATTTACCTTGGGAATATGTGATTGTTCTTCTCTGAAGAAATCAACAGCAGCTGAGAACTGAGGCACTATTACTGCACTGCACTCTTCTGTTGGCCCAAAATAATCAAAATAATATTGATTTGATTGAAAGCTGGAAGCACTGGCCTGCTGTACCTCCACTCTAGCCCTATTCAAGAAATATCAATCAAAATATATATATTTATATTTATATATTTATATATTTGTACTTTCTAAGTCTAATTTTCCATAAAAAGTATGTAATTATGGCATTTTGCTGGTTTCAGATGGAGCAGTGGAGTGCTTTGAAGTCAGGAATAAGTAATGAATACCATCACATTTTTATGAATGAGTTAGTAGAATAATTAACTTAATTTTTTTTTTCAATTTTAATAAGTTCTTCTGCCCAATATTTAAAATATAAAAAATAAAAATATTTAAAAAAAATATATCTTGTGATCTAATTATTATAGCCAAGGATTTTTTAGAATCAAATCAATATTGAGGAAACTCATTTGAGATTTTCATTTATTTTATAAAATAAATTAATATATCTTAAATTTTCTTGAACAACTTATTTTAAATCAAAATATTAAAAAATTAAATTAAAAATTATAAATAATCCTTTAAAATTTAAATAGTCAAGTGTTTAAGACTTTCTCCATTAATCTCAAAATTTACAGAAATGTCAACATAATTTCTAATAATTTTAAAATTGAACTCTAATAATTATTTATGAAACCATCTCATTGTCTAATTATTTTGATAAATAGTCAAAAATTATTTATATATATATATAAATATATATATATTATAATAGAGGTGGATACCTTTTGAGGGGAGGTTGATGGGATTGATTTTTTGACTGATACTCTAAACAGCAGCAGGGCCTTGAAAGAAGGGGAGCTGACTCATTAGCTTCATTCTCGTCAACTACAACACTCTCCTCATCTCCATTAGGGTCTACATTATCAGCTGTGGCTTCTCTACTTTGGCTCCCTTGCACCTCTGATAAATTTTGTAAAATATCAATTTTTAATTAAAGATAAACCTTCTTAATCATACCACTAATACATTTTTTTAGTCTTGACTACGATTTGGCTGTAGTTAATGATAATCCTGTAGTTAATGATGACCAGAAGGGGGACATTTGCATGCTTACAACCAAATTTTTATGTATTTACATATGAACCAGCTAAGTTTTGCTTTTTTTATATTTATGTCTCTTATGTAGATAAATATATATGTAAATACTGAAGTTTCATAAGGGTTTATTTGACACTCCACATGTAAGAATTCACCAGCATTGTCGCTCTTATATTCAAAAATAATATGAAATTTATTAAAATTATAAAAAGCAACAATTGCTTCCATTATAGGACAATGTAAACTTGTAAAGTCTAAAAAGACACATTTATTTCACTTAGAATCCTCATATTCATATGTATTCATAGACTGTCTAACAAGAAAATAATATGTATAATGACCGGATGTTTGGACGGCACCGTGAATCCCATCACATTTTAGTGCACAATAGCGCGGTGTGATCCACATCATCATCTGGACATACAATATCCGACATAATATTTTCCCTCAAATAACAACAATCTGAATGCGGATAAGTCGAGCCACAGCAGCCCATCCAGACTATTGTCCACACATGCAATCGCCGGGCAAGATGAAACAAAGGTTGAGAAGACGAAGAGAAGGGGGCAGTTTTTTTTTTAATATATTTTTTAATTAAAAATAAAATATAATTTTAATAATTTCTAAGGTTTGCAAAATAAAAAAGGAATTAAAAAAAATAATAATAATAATCATCACCTGATCTCCTCTCCTTCTCTTCCATGCGGATTCTACACATCTACAAAGAACCCAAACACCCATTCATGCCTTCATTAATTAATTAATAATAATAATTTAAAAAAAATGGAAAAAAAAAAGAAAAATATATATTAAATTAAAATAAATTAAACCTGAAGACGGCTCTTAATATGAGAGAGCTGAATATGCGGGCATTTCAAAAGCTCTCTAATTTGTTTAGGCGTAGCTTCTGCATTAATATTATAATAATTTAAGTAAGGAAAAATAATTTCTAAAAAAAAAAAAAAGGAAAAAAATAATTAAATTACTTCTTGTTCCTCCGAGGACTGTCATGGCATCTTCGAAGAGCTGCTTGAGGTCGCCGGTCCAGTTGAAACGCGGCTTGCTAGAACGCACGTATGGCCGCACTTCTCCGCTGCTTCTGCGGTGAGCCATCGCTGTTCTCTCGTGCATGGAACAAAAGCTCACACACACACACACTCTCTCTCTCTCTCCCGCTCAGCCTGTTTAAATAAACTCCCTCTCTCTCTCTATCTCTAGGGGGTGTTTGCCAGCATACATTTAATAGGATTTAATCATAAATTTAACGTAAATCCAATCAAACATAAAAAATATACAAATTAAATCTAAACCTCCGCAAATCAAATTTTCTCGCATTCTGTCTTTGTTTTACGTCGCAATGGAGACGGATCGGGAAAAGACAGCGACGAAGCGCCAAAAAATTAGATTTAACGGAGCTTCGGAGTTAAGTTTTATTTTTATTTTTTTAATTTTTTGCTGAATTTAAAATAAATTCATGCCCAAATCCTTTTAGTAATATACTATGATTTATAAATAATAAATTTTAACATTTTTTAAGCATTATAAAAAATAATATGAAAATGTTATGGTAATGTTATTTATTTACTTATATAATTTGTTAGATGTTGGACTAATTTATAAATCAAGCTAAAAAAATATAAATATTCGACTAATTTGCTTAAATTACATAGAATCAACATATTTGGCAAGTTAAACATGGACTTTTGGTAAATTATTAGCTTTTTGATGCCTCTCTCTCTCTCTCTCTCTCTCTCGCACACCCGCATTTTTATTACAAATTTACCTTTTGTGAAGATAATATTTTCTCTAGTTATTACATACTACAATAGATAGGAGAAGGATGTAACAAGAAAGAAAAATTCATGCATATCAGCTAAGTGTATGTTTGGGGCAGCTTGTGTGTTTCAAGATAAATATGTTATCCTGAAACGCGGCCCACAGGTGTCGACTCGCGGTCTGTGCTTAGTGTAAAAAACTCAAACGCGGCAGACAGCGTTTTCAAAAATGATTAAACCAAACAGTTAGGCAGCGTTTTCAAAAACGCTACCCCACACGGGCCTTAAATATTTTAATATTTATTTGAGCAAAAGATTTACCCTAATTCATATATATATGAAAATAAATATAAATATATATTCACTTTCTTAAAGTTAAAATAATACAATTAATCTATTTAAGGGGCATTTACATCTCTGAAATAATTAAATATATAAGAAAAAAAATAAGAGAAAAGAAACACAACCACTTTCATATATTCATGTTAAGACATTGTGAAATAATTAAAAAAATAAGAAAAAAATTATATATTAAGATATCATAATATTATTTGTTAAAAATTATATTTAGAAATTAAACATTATTAAATTTATTATAAGATTAATGTAATATGTATTATTTATGTTAAACACTAAAATAAACATAATGATTTTCATTTAGTACTTTAAATTAAAATTATGGCAAATTAATAGTTTTTTTTTATGTGGCATTTCGAATTAATTAGGCTTATAATTAAGAAAAAAAAGTAGAATATTAATGCTTGAATGGAAGCATGCAAGGAGTTGGTGTGTGGACATAAGAGTGGGAAAGAGAACAAATTGTACCCGTGTTCCATCTCTGAAATTCTCCTGTCACCTGAAAAAGGCCGAAAAATTCGTCAGACCATCAAGAGCTTCTGGTTTTTTTCTGATGTGCTCTTAGTGGCATTGCTTTTGCTATATATATATATATATATATATATGTTGTGTGAGA